CCTCAGGTGACAGCCTGTGTTCAGGTCAAGGAAACGCTGTTAGTCTATTAACCTGATTTTTGTCAAGACCTGTGCCCCCTGTCTAACTGGACCTGGCTTTTCCAATCCTCAGACTTCATTGATCTTGCTCCTAACGGGACTTCAAATAGTTGGTGAATTTTTGCTTCATCTCTTCCCCCTCCCTGCACAGCATATAAAGAAGGAGCCTAGGAGAGTACCGGAGCCGGGAGCAATACCAGAGAGTGCACTGTGTAATGCAGTTTGCACAGGAAGGAACCACACAGTGTTAATACAAGAACCACATGGAACCATAAACATTTACTGTTTGGCCTGACAACAGAGGAAAATGGACATAACAGAGTTCTAAAATTCATGGGAATTCCAAAGCATCAGTAGCCTTTAGAGACTGGATGAAATGGGAAGTGAATCCAAACAAACAGAGCTTTTAAATTATTCTGGTTCTAACATCAAAACCAGTAACAAAACCCTAATGCTTCCATGGAACACAGCGAGGTTGCAGTAACACAGTGATTCATTTCATAAATACTTGTTGACAGGATATTTCAGAATTTACCTCAAACCTGCTCAAGGCAAATAAAAGCCTTAAGATGTTTGATGATTAATATTAATGCTCAGTCTTGATTGGAAAGCCTTGTCTTCTTTCTCTCTCTCCCTTCTTTTACTTTGGTTTTGAAGCAGGATAGAAAAGGGAAATGGTCTTTTGTTTATTATGAATGTCTTATTTGTTATCAAAGGTATGCTTCTAAGCTCTTCTAAGCAGTAGGCTTAGAAAGCATAAGGAATGTAAAAATATTGCAAAAGAATTTAACACTTCATTAGCCTTATACTTCTGACATAAAATGACCTCCCCCAGATAAGGTAATACCCTTCTAAAGACTCAACAGTTCTTATAGGTTTTGCTTTCTTGATAAAAAAGATTAGATATAAGGTTACAGTTTAAATATTCTGGATTTCATACAGAAGCATGAAATATTTCCACAATACAAAATAACTTATCAGAAGGAATCAAACTGAAGCATAAGATTTAAGGTCTATTGTAAACAGAATTTAAAAGATCTGTATTTTCAGTGATATCTTTTGGAATCTAGAAATTGTTAGTTTTAAGGACGATCTTTCTTCTGGATGCTTCCAGACATTCACTGAGTTTAAAAAGGAACAAAAGAACAACGACTAGACTCCAACATGTTTAGGGAATAGTACACTAGGCTATTTCTTACATTAGTTCATTTCATACAGCCCAAAAGGGACATTTTATTAAAATGCCCCCCTTTTAAAACAGTCAACAAAATCAAAAGACAACTGACAGGATGGGAGAAGGTATTCACAAATGACAAGTCAGATAAATGACATGTCAGATAAAGGCTAATATCAAAAATCTATAAAGAATTTATCAAACTCACCACCTGAAAAACAAATAATCCAATCAAGAAATAGGCAGAAGACACGAACAAACATTTCCGCAAAGAAGACATCCAGATGGCCAACAGACACATGAAAAGGTGCTCAACATCACTCGGTATCAGGGAAATACAAATCAAAACCACAGTGAGATACCACCTCAAATGAGTCAGAATGGCTAAAATTAACAAGTCAGGAAATGAAAGATGTTGGCAAAGATGAGGAGAAAGGAGAACCCTCCTACACTGTTGGTGGGAATGCAAGCTGGTGCAGCCACTCTGGAAAACAGCATGGAGATTCCTCAAAAAGTTGAAAATAGAGCTACCCTACGACCCAGCAATTGCACTACTGGGCATTTACCCTAAAGATACAAACGTAGTGATCTGAAGGGGCACCTGCACCCCAATGTTTATAGCAGCAATGTCCACAAGAGTCAAACTATGGAAAGAGCCTAGATATATAATGGATATACATAATGGAATACTATGCAGCCATCAAAAGAAATGAAATCTTGCGTTTTGCAATGACATAGATGGAACTAGAGGGTGTTATGCTAAGCAAAATAAGTCAATCAGAGAAAGACAATTAGCATATGATGTCCCTGATATGAGGAATTTGAGAGGAGGGAGGGAAAGGAGGGGAAAATGAAACAAGATGGGATTGGGAGGGAGATAAACCATAAGTGAATCTTAATCTCACGAAACAAACTGAGGGTTGCTGGGGGTGGGGGGTAGGGATAGGGTGGTTGGGTTAGGGACATTGGGAAGAGTATGTGCTATGCTGAGTGCTATGAAATGTGTAAGGCTGCTGATTCACAAACATTTACCCTTGGGGCAAATAATACATTATATGTTAATAAAAAAAATAAAATAAAATGCCCACCTTTTGAAAACCTACCCACGGAAATGATACTTTTTAAGTTTTGGCATTCTAAGGGATTCTTAACTTTTTTCCAATGGCCATCTGAGATCTCAGGCAGATTCCCCATTAGGTGATTAAAAAAATTTAAAAAATGTGCAACAAAGGGATAAACCCATGTTCACTTTTCAACACATGCATTCAAACGAAAACATATCTATGGCCACAAAATGCTTATTTCAGAAATAAAGTCACAGTTGTGCCTGCATTTGCGTTTGAGCCGCAGATTCTATGACCTGCCTCTCTCTGTCTGTGTTTCCCTCTAAGGAGCATCTCTGAGACTGGGTTTAATGTTCTACATTCTCATGGAAATGCTAGTCAAAAGAAGAATGACCACTTTTCCTCAATGTGGGGCATCTGTGGCCTTAATCTTACATGAATCTAAGAGCATATAAGGAAAATTTTAAAGGATGGTATTAATGAGGACCAACTGTCTTTATGGAAAATGACACTAGAAAGAGCCATCGGTGGTGAGCACGGAAACGCTGGCTTCTCAATCTGATGCCATAGGAGACGTGAAATAAAATACCGATTAGGCAGAATTCTAGGAGGAATAACCGAAGTCTAGACTTACTTTTCATCTCTGAAATTTAGGAATTATTGTGGCATTACCAGAACACCAGATTAACACCAGATTAACCTAATATATTTAGGTTGTTCAATAAGTTCTAGAAAGGGCTACACAATTACAACAGTAAACAATGACATCGCACTATAAACAAGGGAAAAGGCTTTAAAAAAGGAAAACTGATCTTTTCACAGTCTGTCACTAATAACCAAACATCTATTTCCTTCATTGAAAGAAGCACATGTCTTCCAGAGTTGAAGCATCACCCCAATCTTGTGGAGTCAAGTCTTGTTTTCCTCCTTTGGGGCAGTTGTAAAAGAAAGGTGACACGGAGAGCTCAGGCTGAATTTTAACTCACTGCTAAATTTAGCTCCTAGCTGAACGTATGATGACAACCACGATTATTAATAGTGAATGCTTACGGGGTGCCAGCAGTGGGCTGGGTGCTGACTGGCATCTGCACATGGCTGACACATGTAAGAATAGGACCTGGCACATGCAAGCAGGATTTGAGATTTGTTTCCCCATGATTCATCCACTGCCATGGGAGCTGTCCACAAACATACTGAGGCAAACTGAGTTCAGCACGGGTTTAGCCACTTGGCTAAATCAGCCACTTGGAATTTATGAGTTAATGTTATGGAGTCTATCCACAAAGGTTGCTCTTTACCCTTTTATCTCATAAAGTAGCACAGGCGTAAAAGGGAGGAACTGAGAGGACCGCTCTGGGAGGCTGGCAAGGCAATCTTCTTTAAAGTCACGTTCAATGGCGCGATGAGTAAGTGCTTGCTGTGAGCAGAGGAAAAGAGCAGAGAAGGATGCAACAAGGACAATAAAGCAACGCTTATCATGGGGGAGACTGTGCTCTGAAAACAGGAACCTGGTGTCAGGGAAAAAAATGCCAGCTGGTTGCCTGGGTCCCAAAGAAGGAAACTAAAGGAGTGGGGAAAAAGAGATGAAAGAAGAGAGAGGCTCAGCAGCTGTGAAGTCAGAAGGAGGAAGCATTCCCCTCCTATTACCTGGTGAGGCTGAAGAAGTAGACAGGACAAGAACTGAAGAGAGGGGACAAGATGAGTCCACAGCACAGGCAGGGAGTGGTGGGGAGGTGGCGATTCATTTCCAGCAATTTTATGCCAAATTGTACACAAGTGTGCGTTTTGCTAAGAAGAGAGTCCACAGCTTTTAGATGCTTAACCTCTTGGATTATAGAATTCCAAGACGGGGTAGGGACTGTAGCTGTTACTGACTCGTAGCTCCTAGCCCAGTACATGCACAGGGCAGGACTCACTAGATGCTGTTAACTCCATCAGTGCATTAGGACGATGTCCGATAAAGATTAGGAATCACTGGGTTAGAGGGAGAGTTCTATATATAACTCGTATTTCAAGGGTCAGAATTCAAGAACAGGCTGAAAAAAGCTTTAAATCTTGCCCAAGGGAAAAACTGATAAAAATACTGAAAGTGGAGTTGGAGGCATCTGGAAGTAGATTATATACACATATGTGAATGAAAAATGGGGTTGAGCACACCGAATGAAAGCCAGAGTTGGGAACAAGGGAAATCACGTGGGTCAGCATGGCGATGCTCTCAGAGAGCGAGGAAGACAGGAAATAACCAGAATTTTAAGATACAGACAGCATAAGAGAGTTAGATATTTTTTTTGCCATGGTTTACTTAAAATGAGACAAAACTCAGAAAACAAATGGGGTTTAATAACTCAAACTGAGTTTATCTTAATTTGAAAATTAATGAGATAAATCTCAGTGACAGATCCACTAAATTCATTGTCTATTTATTTCAATCACTTAAAAATGCATAAAAACATGGAAGATCACGGCTTTTTGTTTTGTTTTATGGATAATCTAAAAGGAAATCTCCACCTTACTGGAGTTTCTCTTTGCAAGCAAAATAAAGGAATTTAAAAGCAAAAGAATATGATTTCTCAAGGAATCTTTCCATTTCAGCACTTGCCTTTCTGACCAAGCACAGTCTGTCAATGTCATTATCCCGTATTGACAGGCTAATAGTGCTTCACATCTGCTCTCAGGAAGGTATGGAGAGCCCCTTTATGATCACAATTTTGTCAGCTACTCACCTCAAAATGCTGGGTATGTCTGCCGTCTTTTTCATCTTCTTTACTATAAACAACAGCAACAACAACAACAAAATACCATAAAATGTCAGTTTTTGAACAATGCTTTTCATCCAGTGAAATTATGACTTCATTTACTTTAAAAAAAAGTAGGCTGAATGTCTCTAAATTAAATTCTTGTAAAATTCAAAACCAAAACAGAACAAAAAGTCAAAATAAAACAAAACTAGAAACACAACCATGAGTAGGGTTATTTGTCTTGAAGAGGACCATGGCAGATTTTCTATTCTAAGCATTTTCCTTGCTATAAAATACTATTGGTAAACATACACACCTTTAATTCTTTCTAGTTCTTGAAATGCACATTGTATTAAGTGAGAAAAAAAAGCAAGCTATTCATGCTCTTAATCAGCAATGTGATGAGAAAATGCTAAAATTACCTTTCATCAGACATCAGTCCAACATTGTCAGGTCCAGCCCTCGCACGAGAAGGTATGGAACTGAGGCTTTCCATATTCTGTAACAAAACAAATCATGGTTACCCAATAGGAGTGGTAAAAAATAAGCAATAGCAGATCCTCATCCTCCTTTATTTAAAATAGAAAAATCAGATAATATACAGATATGAATGAATTCTAGTTCTCATATTTCTATCTTTGTTAAAACTAGTAAAATCGGGGCGCCTGGGTGGCTCAGTGGGTTAAGCCTCTGCCTTCGGCTCAGGTCATGATCTCAGGGTCCTGGGATGGAGCCCTGCATCGGGCTCTCTGCTCAGCGGGGAACCTGTTTCCTACACTCTCTCTGCCTGCCTCTCTGCCTACTTGTGATCTCTGTCTGTCAAATAAATAAATAAAATCTTTAAAAAAAAAACCTAGTAAAATCATGAAAGTTTCATATATGCTGTTTGCATAGAATTGGATGGTGAATTTTATCATCCCTTTAATGAAGATATCTGATACCATTGTGGAAACCATCGTTGTATTCTATAATGTCCTTGTTAGGTATCATCCATATCTTACAGCTAAACATAGCAAAACCCAGACTGTCAGAACATTAGGGTAAAATTAGAATTAGAACTAAGGAATCTGACCTTGAATCCTCTCTGAAACCAATGGAACATTCATTGCTCATTTAATATATTTTCAGGATAAATTGCCAATATAATATGGGATAACATATAGCTTGTACCCAAACTGCTAATTATCCATGAATAGAAATGGTGTTAATATGAGAACCTTTCTTTCTGTGATATTTAACATTAGTCCTTGTGTTATTTGCTAGGATGGAAAAAATATAAACAGGAAACTTACTTTGAATAGTGTGTATTTCAGGCTCACCAAGAGAGCTTAACATTTATCAGGAGGCATACCTGTAAGGTTTTTTTGACATGGCCAATGCTTTCTGAATACAATTCAGGTGACTGAGCACAGCATAAGTAAGCCAACCCCATGAAGGAATATTACAAAAAAGCAAACAAGAGCTCATTTATATTCAGTAAACTGAAAAAAAAAAAGAGCTGCCTTAGAGATCTGAACCTAATTTTCACTTAACTCAAAGATTCATACCTGCCTTAAAAGGACATTAAGCACAACCAACCTATTCTATGTCATCAGAATGACACATATTGAAGCAACATGTGTTCATCTACATATTTATAACCTCCCATTGTGAAAAACCTTTTACAAAGTAAATCTGATTAAGGTTCACAATATTCCCGTGAAGTTGACATATATAAAAATCCTCACAAAATAAACACATAATTAGAGTAGAAAACTAATCTTTGGCTTGGTAGTTGAATGAATTGTTTTCCTATTATGTTGGTTTGGCTAACTTATCTGGAATTCTGGAAGTTTAAAACCCTGGGCTCCATCAGACAGTAGAAACAAAGGGAGACAGAGCACAACATAATAAATAGAATGGTGCCTCTGGAGTTGGGATGTTTGGGTTTGAATCCTACCTCTATCATTTACCAACTCTATGAACCTATTTGACCCTCAATGTCCACATCTGTAAATTGGAGACGGCAAAATAAACATAATTACATAGGTGGCCTTGAAGATTAAGGGAAATAATGCACGTAAACAACGTGAATAATACCTGGTACATTAAAAGGATATTTTACTAGTATTTCTCCAGTTAAGGCGATGTTCCAGATAGCGTCTGTGTCTGACATTACTAAACATCAATTTACACACTTAGATAATTTACACAGTTCATTTTAGAAAGGATCTGAGAAATAAAAATTATGACAACATTCAATTATATTTACATTTTTATAACTCTAAAGTTTGAGTTAGAAGAGGCCTCTCTGAAATGGCCCTCCTTAAACCAAAGCATAATTGCTCTTATTACCTGAATGTGATCTTCCTGATAAAAGGGGTTATATCTATGACAAAGAATCTGTGTTTGTTCTCACTGGTGATCTTCAATAGATTATCAAAAACTTTAGTGTAAGATCTAGTGCAATATCATTAGTTTTTTTCTAAAGCTCTGAAACCTGAATTCCTAGGGAGGCACAACCCTCTACCCTCAGATCATTTTTAAAACAGTGTCAATGAAATACATAATTAATTATATGCAAATGACTACTTCAGAATAAATAAAAATCTTCACCTTAAGGCTAGGAAATATTCAGAAAGAGGGAAGAGAAAGTAAACCACAGTAGTATTATATAAATTTAGATATTTCAGTAAAATTTTTTCCCTATACAAAAAGAACCAAGATATAAATGTTTATAGGTTCTGAGAATTATAGAAAAAAAGACAGTTATGTTATACAGTGAAAGACTTTGCAAAAAGCAGTTGTAAAATGTGAGAAAGTCTGTCTGATCTCCAGGGTTAAAACTAGTAAGCAGTAACTTGGACTCCCTCCCCCACCCACTTTTTAAAAAAATGTTTGATCCCTATGTTTAAGAACTCCCCAAGGATCTGTTTTTATGGATGCAATAGACAAAGGATGACTTTCAATATTGTTCCATATTCCTCTCTAAGGCTTTATAATAATTCCAATGTTCATGTTGTCCACTCATTGGAGACTGTTGAATATTCATGAGCTGCTCTCACTAACGTGGTAGGCAAGCACACAGTGTTCCTTCGCTAAGGCAGTTGCCCCTATACCTTTTGGACACAGGAACATGTCAAGAACGTGTTACAACTGGCAGCCTATCTCATTTTTCTTCAGAATAAAACAAGGGTAGTAAAGGTCTCTGAATACAGAAACAGAAGTACCGTTCGTTTCCACTAGGGGAAAACAAGTGATAGAATCTAACTTCCATTCTTTGCCTAAAGTTTAGGGAGGGAAGATTAAGACAAAGAGATCAGCAATTCCCCCCACTTCACTGAGATGGGAGAAGGGGAAAATGGAATGCACAGGTCAAAAGAACAGCTGAAACGCAAAGGCTTCCACTGTATGGGAAGTATGCTACTGGACTCAAATGTTCTGCAGCTGTAATAGTACTTGTCTTAGTGGAAAACACAGACTTGATGTCTTTTGGAAGTTTTGAACTGTTTTATGTCCCAAACACTTCTCTAAGTGTGGTAAAAGAGTAGCTTATTAATGTTTGCATTTATGAAAGGTTAAAGTAATAAAATTTATAAAAATGTTATTGCATTGATTTTTACTTTAACTGATCTTCTAAACTCAGGATCTTTTTAATAGGTAATTTTAAGAAATAGCAAAGAACAGATCATGACTTTAAGAATAATTTAATGTAACTGCTTCTTGAATTGCATGAAAAAAAAAACAGATAAAGCTTGCTTCATGTAAGTCTTACCAGTGACTTTCAAAACACACAGATGTGCTATGATAGAATTTATTTGGACAGTTTTTGGGTGTCAGAAGGAACTGAATTTTAAGAACCACCCTCCTCAATTATAAAAATAACCTCAAATCTAAAAAGAGCAAAATCCTTGAAAAAATTAGCTTTAGACTGTGGAATTTATTTTCAATTGTTCCCCGTGGCCCCCTCTCTGTTGAGGCATTGAAAGCTGGGCTCAAAACCTATTTGACCACTGAAGTCCTTGAAAACACTTGGAGCAAAAACAAATTTGTCTTCTAAAACCATAAAATGCTGACAAAGCCTTTATAGAGGACACTGAAAAAAAAAAATATTTTCCCTCCATATACAAACAGCTCAGTCTGAAGGCTCAGAGAACACTGCTAGTCAAAACAGGTTCATTATTCTAACCTTGAGCTCTAAGAGAAGGAGAATATTTGATACACTCTCATTAACAAAGGTTTAATGTGCATATGAATTTCTTTTTATACCCTTTCATATATTTTATGTTTTACTGCTTAAAACAACTAGGTAATTAATCCATATTTGAAAAGAACTACTGATATGATACAAGGATGCGGATAGAAGAGCTTGCTAGCTATCCACTGAAATCTATCTTCCTTCCACAGAAATGAAGTAGCCACATGCCCAGTAGCAATGCATTCGCCAGTCTCTCTGGCGGTGAGATATGGCCATGTGACTAACTCTTCAACAGGATACACAATGCAATGTGTGTGGCTTCTAGGTCTGGCCAATCAAGCTACCCCAGTGGGCACATTCCTCAACACTCACGCTCTCCTTCTGTGAGTGGGACAGGAGATAAAACCACCGTCGTTCATTGGAAGCTACTTGACGTTGACAGAGAGGAACATGGTCCGGCACAGAGCAAGTCTTCTACTCCTCTCTCTGGCCCTCAACTTCTATTTTAGGTTGTTATGGGAGAAGGAACATTTACTGTGTTCAAGACATTGCGTTTTGGGGCTTCTTGTTATACAAGTTACCCTAAAAAATATGGCAACCATTCATGTGCTCCTTTTTTTTCAACACATTTTTTTGATGAGTGCTGAACTCTGCTGGGCATTGGGGAAAGGTGAACCAGACACTGGTTCTTGTCATCATGACTTTTGTGTTTTGGTTACTGCTCCAACTGTAGTTTGCTACACTGTTAATATTATCTTTATTTCTAAGGAAGGTTCTTTCTGAATGATAACGCTAAACATTAATTGGCAAAACATAAAATTCAAAGTAGTCAGCACCTTCTTTCCCTATTCAATACTATGCAAAGGAAAGAAATTCTAGATGTGTGTATAAATGTGGTGAGCTTAAAAAGCTAGAAGAGTATTTATTTTTCTTAGATGAAGGTGTAGGTTGTGGTTAGAATATAGGGACAGACCTTTGGTGTAATGTAAACGAGGGAGTTGGGCAAACCGTTCAAGTTTCTGATGAAACGGTCTTTAGATCAAAGTAAGTTATAATCAAACTCCACCCCACCTCCAGGCTCCATCCCTTATCAATTACTCAAGAACATTGATCCTGCAATGGATCCCCTTCTCTTATGGTTTATCTTGCCATATCACTGTTTTGTTTTTTTTTTAAGATTTTATTATTTGAGAGAGAGAGAACATGAGTGTGTGTTGCGGGGTAGAGGGAGAGGGAGAAGCGAATCCCCGCTGAGCAGAGAACCTGACACAGGGATTGAACCCGGGACCCTGAGATCAGGACCTGAGTCAAAGGCAGATGCT